GCTCTCTCCCGTTGCGGAGCACAGGCTCCGGATGCGCAGGCTCAGGGGCCATGGCTCACGAGCCCAGCCGCTCCGCGGCATGTGGGATCCTCCCGGACCAGGGCACGAACCTGTGTCCCCTGCATCGGCAGGCAGACGCTCAACCACTGCGCCACCAGGGGAGCCCCAATAAATAAATTTTTTTTAAAAAAGAATGTAAGTCTGGGACTTGAAGTGGTCAGAAAATGGGGGAAATGGCTTGTTAGGGCTTACTTCTGGGAAATAGCCAGTGTGGGGATGGCATGGACGAGTATCTCCAAGTAAGAAACTTTCTCCCAGGCCTCTCATAGCTCTTTAGGTTTTTAATCGTTTTGCTTGAAAAGAGAAAACGTGAATAGAGAAAATCAGGGTAATGATCAACCAAATGCATATAGCAAGGAGCCAGAGCATGTGGGCACATCCACAAATATTTGTTGATTGATGAAAAGAGGGAAACTACTGGTAGAGCTCAGGGCAGGGTTCCAAGATTCCCAGATGTAGAGAGACTGAGGGGTCAGCTAATTCCACATTCTACAGAAGAGGAAACAGGGGACCAGAAAGATAAAGGATCCTGCTCAGACTTGCAAGGCTAGTTGCTGATAAGAGCCAGCCAGAGCCCTGGATTTCTGGGTTGGCCACATACCCTTCCTTCCCGTGGCGTGGCTAGCAAGTGACCTTCTGAAAAGACATTGTTTGGTGATAAGGGCCCTGTGGCCTGGTCAGCAAGTTGAGGTCTGCTTGACAAGGGACACCTCAATAGTCTCTAGTCTCTGACTCAGGACATTCATATGCGGATCTCAGGGGAGCACAGTAGTGAAGAAGCAAGCAGAGAGCTCTAGACTTAGCTCTGGAGTCCTTACTCTTTCGTGGTGACAGCGTGGGTGGGAGATGGAAAGAAGGCCTGAGGAGGCAGTTAGAAAGGGGCTCATGGTCCCTCCCTCAAAAATTCTACTTTGCCTTTTTCACATTCAAGAAACAAAACACTGGGAGAACAGAACCAAGGATTTGAAACCCAAAGTACTTTCTGTACCTAATAACCATGACAAGCAGATTTTGAGAACTAGACAAAAATGAACTAAAGAGGTGGGAGTGGGGGAGGGTTGCAGAGATGCTCGGGCAGGGGCAGTCCTACTGGTTTTAGTGGCAAAGGAATTACTAAGCTATATATAGACAGATAGCTTTGAAATCTCTCTCTCTACCTCTATCTCTATCCAAAATAATACTTGAAAGCCTAAGCAGGACCCTTCCTAAATAGCCCTTTTCACCTTTTCTAAGCTGTACTTTTTGTTACATCCTGTCACCTACCCTAAGTTACAGTTGTACCTGACTATTTGCTAACCACTCATTCAGTGGATATTTATTGAGCACCTACTACATCCTAAGCAACAGGCAAATAAATAAGAACATGATGTGTTAAATGAATTAATTCATTTATTCCTATGTGAGGGCATAAGCATACCTAGAAACTATTCTTTATCTTTCCCTCTCTGTGTCCTTGAACGTGGCTTGCAGTTTTTCCCCTTCCTGGCCCTCTGAGCTGAGGTCCTTCTCTCTAGAGCAGTCTTTGGCATTTTTTTTTTTTTTTTTTTTTTTCCTTGCGTTATGCGGGCCTCTCACTGTTGTGGCCTCTCCCATTTGCGGAGCACAGGCTCCGGACGCGCAGGCTCAGCGGCCATGGCTCACAGGCCCAGCCGCTCCGCGGCATGTGGGATCTTCCCGAAACGGGGCACGAACCCGCGTCTCCTGCATCGGCAGGCGGACTCTCAAGCACTGCGCCACCAGGGAAGCCCTCTTTGGCATTTTTGATGGAGAATTGGGAAGAAACTGGAAGGCAGGAAGAAAAGCCAGTGCAGGAGTGTGGAGGCCAGGGCTGGAGGAAATTTTTAAGGGCTGTGTTGTGTAAGTATAATAACTGATAGGTGAATGAGAAAGAAAGCAAGGGATTTTACAGAAAACTATTGGTGATTCTGTATTTCTTTCTGGGTTTAAAGAACTACAAGTAAAGACCATGAATAGTTTTAGAAATTGCTTTTGGTTTCACGGAGAGCATCCTTTGGATGTAGACAGCACTGTGCGGGCATGATATATGCTTTTCGCATTCACTCATTGGACCAATATTCATGGAGTGCCATGTATGTGCGGTCGCCATGCAGGGCTGAACAAAACAGACCTGGTCCCTCCCCTCCTAAAACTTGAACATGTTCAATAAACAAATATTGAGCTACATATTGTGATGTGTATTTTGAAGGAATTAACACTCACAGTGTCATGAGTGCTGATTGGGGAACTGCTTTATGTCTTTGGAACACATCCTGCTCTTCACACTTTTTGAAGCTGAAGTACTTTTTCTGATAGTGGACTCTATCAAAAATCCTAAAAATATACTGAAAATCTCAAATGTCACGGTCTTCAGGATGCTCTGGCATGTCTCCCATTTAAGCTGTTCTCTTCTGGCACATTGCTTCTATAAAACACAATTCTGCCGAGTGTATACCTGTTGTACAGTGACCAACTGTTTCTGTTTGCCCACATTGAGCAGCTTCCTGGTCTGAGTTGGTCACCCTAACCTGTTGACAAGTCTGTCTTCCCCATTATATCCAACACTCCAGGAGGGAAAGGAAGCCTTCTTATCTCTATTCATGCAACAACTTGCATGTAGAAATAGAGTTAATATTAACAACAATAATAATAGCTTACACTTGAGTGTTGACTATATTCCAGGCCCTATGCTTGCTTAACTCCTTACAACAAGCAAACAAACTTCCTTCTACAGAGAAACTGAGGCTAAGCCAGTTAAGCCCAGGATTTGAGAGGCTGGGGCTGAAAAAGAGAACCTCTTAATCACCACTCCCTGTACTAGCACAGCCGTCCTCCAACTTTTTGATCTCACGTTCTCTTTACACTCTTAAAAATCATTAATAACCCCCCAAAACTTTTGTGTGGGAGATGTCTAGTACATCAGAAATTAAAACTGAGAACTTAAAATATATATATTTTATTTAAACATCAATGCGCATTCACATCAATAACACATTTTGTAAGTAAAAAATAACTATTTTCCAAAATAATGGTTTTGTGAGAAGAGTGGCAAATCCCTTTAATGTCTGGCTTAACAGAAAACCCCTGGATTTTCACATCTGCTTCTACGTTCAATCTGTTACAAATATGTATCATGTAGCCTCTGGAGAACTCCATTGTACACTGGTGAAAGAAAATGAAATCAAGGCAAACAACTTCTTTGTATGACTATGAAAATTGTTTTGCCTTCGGAGACCCCCTGGGTCCTTGGATACTTTGGCAGGCGCCGCTGTACTGTATAAAACAATTCACTCTTTTCAATGCCTTTGTCGCAGGCCTCAGGGGAAGAGGTAACCATTGGTTTGCACTAATGTGGGGCTTTGGTTATATACGGCCTGGGCCTTGCGAAGGACACCAGCGAGGAGACAGAGAGGTGCCTCCCCTCGTCCAAACCTTAACCTGCAAGCTCTTCGCGGATTGCCCACAAGTGGCTAGACCTTGGCCTACAACTCCCGGCAGAGCTCGCGGCAGGGGGCGTGTATTCACAGGCGCGAGGAGCGTGGGTGACTCTAGCCGAGTGACGGAGTGAAGGGGGCGTGTCTGTTTTGGGGCAGGCGCGGTGCCGTAATTGGATAACCCGGGAATAGGGGGCGGAGCCAGTGTTTGGGTCAGCCAATGGTTTGCGGTCAGACGGAAGGGGGGACGGGGCGTGGCTGGACTGACTCGGGGCTGCGTGGGGCTCACCGAACCCGGGAACGCGGGTGTCGTGGGTGGGAACGCGTAGTTCTGGGACAGCCGAGTCTGGGCGCGGGAGATGGCGGCGCGATGGAGCAGCGAGAACGTGGTGGTGGAGTTCCGCGACTCCCAGGTGAGCTCGGGGCCTAATGGAGCCTTTTAAGCATGCGCCCTTCCTGGTTCCCCTCCCCCCACGCTGCCGGGTCATTCTTGGGGGCGGTGGGGCGACCCCCAGTCCGGGCTGGAGAGATGGGCAAGGGAGTGACCCAGACCTGTCAGACCCGAGCGGGTGAGGGGATCCTTGATGACCGTTGCGGGTTGGGGTTCCCCTCGTGGATGCCGGGAGTGGGGTCTGCCTGGGGACATCGAATTGCAGAGATTGCGCGCTAGTGAGCGCTGAGGGGAGGCTTCCCATGACCACGGTGGTGAGCGAGGGGGTTTAGGTACCCCTGCGCCTAGTGACTTTGGGCAAGTCGCAGAACTTATTTGAGCCTCAGATGCATGGACTTAACCCTGCCTCACAGGTCTTTGGAGTGGATTCGATAAAAAAAAAAAAACTGCATGCAAAGTGCCTGTTTCGCGCCTAAGCTTTTAAGTGGTTACTGATGCTAGGATAGTGGAAAATACCGTAGGTGAATAGGAGTATGCACTGCATGTATTGCCCGGGTTCGAATCCCGCCTCAGCTCTAAGCCTGTCATCACCCTCTGCGCATGTTTTCTCACCTGTAAGAGGTACGAATCGTACCTACCTCATAGGGTTGCTGTGAGAATTTTATGAGATCATACATTTAGAATGTGTGGCGCAGTGCTGGACTCATAGTAAGCCCAAAGGAACGTTAGTATTTACTAGGAATTTTTACCATTTTTCTATTTCGTTCCTTCCATATGCCGGGCCTTGTGCTAAGTGATCTACATTTCCTTTTTCTAATTCATGAAATAACCATGCAAAATAAGTAGATTTTTTTTTTTTTTTTCCCCCAACAGGGAAGCTGATCCCCATTTGGCTGATCCCAAGTGACTTGGTCAAGGCCTCCCATTATGTGGTCGCATTGGGATTTGAACACAGGTGTCTGGCCCCAGGGCCTTGTTGTGCTCATTACACTACTCTGCTTTGTACTGTATGAGCCTGTCATACAGTCGTTTTACAATAAATATCATGCCCCCCTTTCCCCAGCACCTAGGACAGTGTGTTGGTGATTCTCTTCATGCATCGAACACATAATTTATTGAATACCTTCAGTGTGCCAGACTTTCATTCAGTCATTTTTTTCAGTAAGGGTTTATCGAGCTTTTGACAGGTGCACACTGTACCAGGCACTGTGTTGGTGCTCAGGTGATTTATACTGAAGGGGAATCTGGATTTACGATAAGGGGGTGATGTGGTTTCTTCTTTCTAAAACCTATCCCTTCTTTTACCGTAAAGATGCATGAGGGGAGAACTTCCCACCAATTTGCTCTGTGGCTGCTCTTGATACATAGTGCCCATGGAGAATTTGAGGAACTGCATTTGGGTGAAAGGATCCTAAAGCACTTTGCACTGTCAGCATGGTGTCTCTGGGAGGAAGAAACATGCCATACTCCCAGGGGAAAAGAACCATATTCCTGTTACCGTTTTTGTTAATTGCTTTCACTGGGGACTAAGAAGAGAATCATGTGTCCTACCTCTGAGCTTGCTAATTTGGAAGCTACTAATCTGCAAACGCTTTAATTTTCACAGAAACCCAGGTAGTCTCACCCCTGCTTCTCTACACAGATGTAATTGAAAAGACCTGCAGAGAGGGTGTTGACACATATATTAGGATGCTATGAAGTCATATCAAATAATTAAACCTAAACAGCAGTTGTCATAGTAAGAGAACAAACTAAATTGGGTAATTTAACTGCCTTGCGGGAGTTTCTGTTTTTCTTTCTGATTTTTCTATTCATTTGGAAGGGTGAGTCTTAGTGTGAATTAGCATGGTTTTGTAGTTGATTTTGGTGATCACTGGGAGGGGTAGGGACTCATTTTATTAACTATTTCATTAATGTAGAAAGAAAAAGTTAAAACTCTTCACACCGCCTTTCTGAAAAGGCAGAACAATAAACTTTTCCAAACATCCCACCACCTTTTTTTTTGGCTACATTGGGTCTTTGTTGGTGTGACCCCACCACTTTTAAAAATCATTTTAAAAATTTAAAGCTTTTAGGTTTTTCAGAGAAAAACCCCAGTCTGAAAGGTGAAACTTTTTTACATTTTATATGTGTCATTTACTTTATAAAACAGATGTGACCTTCACCGATTAATAGTGAGGAAGCTGTGCTGCTTGGCATCTACTCTGACGTGGTCCCTGGAATCGATGAGTGTGAACGCTAAGAAAGCTTAGCGTTAGTTTTCTAGAGCAACACCATCCACTAGAACTTTCTGAGATGATGGAAATGTGGCTCTTCAACACTTGAAATGGGGCTAGTGTGACTGAAACAGTGTATTTTTTTTTTTCCTGGTACGCGGGCCTCTCACTGTTGTGGCCTCTCCCGTTGTGGAGCACAGGTTGCGGACGCGCAGGCTTAGCGGCCATGGCTCACGGGCCCAGCCGCTCCGTGGCATGTGGGATCTTCCCGGACCGGGGCACAAACCCGTGTCCCCTGTATCGGCAGGCGGACTCTCAACCACTGTGCCACCAGAGAAGCCCGAGACAGTGTATTTTAATTAATTTATTTATTTAAAAATAAATTTATTGTATTTATTTATTTTTGGCTGCGTTGGGTCTTCGTTGCTGCACGCGGTTCTTCTCTAGTGGCGAGCGGGGGCTACTTTTCGTTGCGGTGCTCAGGCTTCTCATTGTGGTGGCTTCTCTTTGTTGCAGAGCATGGGCTCTAGGTGTGCAGGCTTCAGTAGTTGTGGCATGCGGGTTCAGTAGTTGTGGCTTGCTGGCTCTAGAGTACAGGCTCAGTAGTTGTGGTGCACGGGCTTAGTTGCTCAGCGGCATGTGGGATCTTCCCGGACCAGGGCTGGAACCCGTGTCCTCTGCATTGGCAGGTGGACTCCCAACCACTGCGCCACCAGGGAAGCCCTGATTCAGTCTTTTTAATAGTAATCAGTCTGTTCAGATTTTCTGTTTCATCATGATTCAATCTTAGTAGATTGTAAGTTTCTAGGAATTTACCCATTGCTTTTAGGTTGTCCAGTTTGTTGGTATATAATTGTTCATAGTAGTCTCTTATGATGCTTTGTATTTCTATGGTATCAGTTGTAATATGTCCTCTTTCATTGCTGATTTTATTTTAGCCCTCTCCCGATTTTTCTTGGTGAGGCTAGCCATAAGCTTGTCAATTTTGTTTATCTTTTCAAGGAACCAGCTCTTAGTTTCATTGATCTTCTCTATTGTCTTTTTTTTTTGGCTGCTCCATGTGGCATGTGGAACTTCCCCAACCAGAGATCGAACCCATGTCCCCTGCATTGGGAACGTGGAGTCTTATCCACTGGACCGCCAGGGAAGTCCCTGTTATTTTCTTTTATTCCACTAACTTCGGGCTTCTTTTGTTCTTTTTCTAGTTCCTTGAGGTGTAAAGTTAGATTGTTTATTTGAGACTTCTTGTTTCGTATCGGCAGGCGGACTCTCAACCACTGTGCCACCAGAGAAGCCCGAGACAGTGTATTTTAATTAATTTATTTATTTAAAAATAAATTTATTGTATTTATTTATTTTTGGCTGCGTTGGGTCTTCGTTGCTGCACGCGGTTCTTCTCTAGTGGCGAGCGGGGGCTACTTTTCGTTGCGGTGCTCAGGCTTCTCATTGTGGTGGCTTCTCTTTGTTGCAGAGCATGGGCTCTAGGTGTGCAGGCTTCAGTAGTTGTGGCATGCGGGTTCAGTAGTTGTGGCTTGCTGGCTCTAGAGTACAGGCTCAGTAGTTGTGGTGCACGGGCTTAGTTGCTCAGCGGCATGTGGGATCTTCCCGGACCAGGGCTGGAACCCGTGTCCTCTGCATTGGCAGGTGGACTCCCAACCACTGCGCCACCAGGGAAGCCCTGATTCAGTCTTTTTAATAGTAATCAGTCTGTTCAGATTTTCTGTTTCATCATGATTCAATCTTAGTAGATTGTAAGTTTCTAGGAATTTACCCATTGCTTTTAGGTTGTCCAGTTTGTTGGTATATAATTGTTCATAGTAGTCTCTTATGATGCTTTGTATTTCTATGGTATCAGTTGTAATATGTCCTCTTTCATTGCTGATTTTATTTTAGCCCTCTCCCGATTTTTCTTGGTGAGGCTAGCCATAAGCTTGTCAATTTTGTTTATCTTTTCAAGGAACCAGCTCTTAGTTTCATTGATCTTCTCTATTGTCTTTTTTTTTTGGCTGCTCCATGTGGCATGTGGAACTTCCCCAACCAGAGATCGAACCCATGTCCCCTGCATTGGGAACGTGGAGTCTTATCCACTGGACCGCCAGGGAAGTCCCTGTTATTTTCTTTTATTCCACTAACTTCGGGCTTCTTTTGTTCTTTTTCTAGTTCCTTGAGGTGTAAAGTTAGATTGTTTATTTGAGACTTCTTGTTTCTTGAGATAGACATTTATTGCTATGAACTTCCCTCTTAGAACTGCTTTTGCTGCATCCCACAAATTTTTGTATGTTATATTTCCATTTTTGTCTCAAGGTATTTTTAAAATTTCTTTTTATTTCTTCTTTGACCCATTTGTTGTTCAGCAGCATGTTGTTTAATTTCTACATATTTGTGAATTTTCCGCCAGTTTTGTTTGAGTAATTAATTTCTCATTTTGTACCATTGTGGTTAGAAAAGACGCTTGATATGATTTCAGTCCTCTTAAATTTATTAAGACTTGTTTTGTGGCTTAACATATGATCTATCCTGGAAAACTTTTCATGCACACTTCAGAAGAATGTGTATTCTGTTGCTTTTTTTTTTTTTAATTTTATGTTTGGCTGTGTCTGGTCTTAGTTGTGGCATGCAGGATCTTTTGTTGTGGTGCATGGCCTTCTTCTCTAATTGCAGCACATGGGCTTCTCTCTAGTTGTGGTGCACAGGCTTAGTTGCCCTGTGGCCTGTGGGATCTTAGTTCCCTGACTAGGGATCAAACCTGCGTCTCCTGCATTGGAAGGCAGATTCTTAACCACTGGACCACCAGGGAAGTCCCTGT